AAACCTCAAAATACTATTAAAAGAGTAGATGAGTGCAATGGCCCCGTCTTTTTTATTAATCTTCCTATGTTCACTCATCAGTGGGAGTTGTGCTGCACTTCTACCTGGGTTAAAGTCCAGTGACAGTCAGGCACAGATGTGCCCTTGCATGAGTGAGCAAATCACTGAGAGAGGCTGAGGTCCAGTTTTTCCAGTCTTTCTTGCATACCTTACATTCCTTTATGCTAGCAGGTAGCATCTGTTTACATTGAGTCTGGAGGTAGAGGGGAAGTTAAACAGATCAGAGGAGATGCCCTTATAGCTAAGGTGAAGTAAAAACGAGTAGAACGTTTATTGTTTTTGCTTCTTTTCTCTTACTAGTGGCTAATATGCCTGAGGAATTGACTTCTTGGTTGCCAGGGGGAAGCCTGGTGCTCCTATATTTCAGGAAATATTTGTAATCCTATTGACAGTACATACATTTTTTCTCATGTACAGTTCATCAACCACTTACATTTTTCTGTTACTGGTTAAATGTTTATTAATTATTGCATGCATGAACATTTTATTTTGTGGAACGAAATTTCATGTTGGCTGATTTGTTTGTGAGGGTAAGAGACTGGTGTTTTGCCGTCAAGAATAATGGCACTTGTGTCACAGATTCAATAAGACCATTTGCCTTGGCCACACCTCCCCCGAACACCAGCGCACCATGGACATGCCCCCTGTTTTCCTTCCAGCCTGCCCCTTCCAGCATGCCTTTTTCCCGGTGTTTTCGTCACTTCCCCCCCTCCCGGATTGTGTTGTCTGCATAGGGCCCTGAAAGAACGCTTCGTTACAATTTTACTACATTTTGCACCCAGCTGTATGCAGTGGTCTGTGGCTAAGAATCTGCGCCTGTGGCTGGAAGGTTGCTGGTTTGTATCCCGCTGACGGCAGAGGAATCTTACTCCGTTGGGCCCCTGAGCAAAGCCCTTAACCCCAACTGCTCCAGAGGCGCTATATAAATTGCTGACACTGCGCTCTGACTCCAAGCTTCTCTCCCTGTCTGTGTGTCTTATGGAGAGCAGGTTGGGGTATGTGAAAAGACAAATTCCTAATACAAGAAATTGTATATGGCCAATAAAGTGATCTTATCTATATATCTTAGGAAAATTACTGAATGAGTTTGCTTTTCTAGAGCATGCCCAACAACTGATGTTTTTCCTGTGTGTATTTGCACTAGAAATTGACCTTTTCACCACACATAATGGTCTTTACTGTGTCCAAAAAGCACAATATTTGACTCATCCATACATAGAACATCCTTCCAGTAGCCTTCTAGATGTTCTTTGATGAACATGATATGGATGGTAATGTCATTTTTAGAACTTAATGGTTTCTTCCTAGTTATCCTCTCTTGAAAATCATGCCCATTTTCCTATTGGTTGAAACATGAACACTCTAGACTATAGACTAGACTATTTAGAGACTATTGTGGAGTTCTTTGTGACTTTCTGTATAATTTTCAGGGTTGATCTTGGCAGGATCACATTTCCTGGGGTACAGTCACTGTGATATTTTCCTGCTGTAGACTGACAGTGGATAGACAGTAGACAGATCCTCTCTAAGCTGATGTTTACTTGTTTTCCAATTAATTAATTCTAATTACCCCTTTATTTGTGCTTGGTGAATTGAGGGTTGACTTATATGTCACATACACTGATTCTTATTTTTTCTATAATGTATTTGCATCTCAATAAACACTGAATGCATTGTTCTGTTTGTTATTTTAGAAAAGACCAGATTTGATCAAACAATAGTATAGTGGTAATGATAATGGTATAATGATTTCTTCTGAGTTTCATGTAACATTTTGGCCCCAGTTAACTCCTCTTTTGCTTGACATCACAGTACGATGAATATTAATAAAGACAAGTTCCTGCACCTGCACTACTGCACTGGCAAAAAATGTGACCATACAAAAAATATAGTTCACCATAATCAGGTTGGCTTTATCAAAAAGCACAGAGCTTCAGATGTATGCCAACTTGTCCACATTATTCTGACTAGACATTGTTTCCCTTATGGCACTTTCTAAAAGCTGAGAAACTTTGTTTTGTAACCATGTTTGTAACCATATTATGTACAGGTAACAAGTGTTTATCCTAGTTTTCTGTTTCTAGTGGTACTATTCAGTGGTGTGTTTGGAAACTGTAGCTCTGACTGTTTGTCAGTCTATTATTCCAAACCATTGTGCCATCAATAACACTCAACATTGTATACTGTGCTATGCTGATGACATAGAGTATTGATATATGTACATAATGTCTCACAATCCATGCCTTAACTTGTATTTTTGATGTTTTCGATGTATTGGGATATACAAGTGATTAGAGACATCTGACTTTTTCTGAATGCCTTACTGATCCAATACTTCAGATATTTTATAAGTTTTACTCTTGTTGTATGCCATCACAATAAAGAACTTTAGTAACATTTATGAACACATAGATGGTGAAATTATCAGTTTAACTTATTTTTTTACTCTAATCAACTCATTTCTGTAAAAAAATCATTGTGATACCTCTTTCTCTCCCCTTAGGTTATTGTGAGGGATTTCCTTCTAGAATATTGAAATTCATATGGAAAGGGAAGTGACAATGTATTAAATTTTCTCTTTTATAGTGCAAGTCAGTAAGAGATCTGGTTTTAATTTTTTTTAATTTTTTGGCTTGTGTTGCATCCAATATCATTTTTTTCTAAACTCAACAATTGCATTTACACTTAAGTTTTGCTCTAGTGTGAAGTTTTGCTCTTCACACCTGAAGAAGGCTTCACAGCCGAAACGTTGTGTTTTAATACATAAATAAAAATAAAATGCTTAATCAATGATTGTGCCATATTGCTGTTAGGAATTTTAGCCCACTCTTCCTCACAGAACTGCTTTAATTCAGAAACATTGGCAGGTTTTCGAGCATGAACTGCTTGTTTCAGGCCCTGCCACAGCAATCTCTATTGGGTTTAGGTCTGGACTTTGACTAGGTCCCTCCAAAACTGCTTCTTTTCAGCCATTCTCATATGGACTTGCTTTTGTGTTTTGGATCATTGTCTTGGTGCATGACCCAACTATGCTTCAGCTCATGCTTCAGCTCACGGACGGATGACTGGACAATCTGCTTAAGAATTTTCTGATACAGAATTCATGGTTCCTTTAATTATGGCAAGTCGTCCAGGTCCTGAGGCAGCAAAGCATCCCCACACCATCACACTACCACCACCATGTTTGACTGTCGGTATGATGTTTATACTGTGGAATGCTGTGTTTGCTCTACGCCAGACATAATGGGGACCCATGTCGGCCAAAAAGTTCAAATTTTGATTCATCTGTCCATACAACATTCTCCCAAAAGGCTTGGGATTGGGCTACTTGGCAAGCATTTATGTTCTTCTTGGTTAGCAGTAGTTCCGCCTTGCTACTTTCCCGTGAAGCCCATTCTTGCCCAGTCTCTTTCTGATAGTGGAGTCTTGAACACTGACACTGAACTTAGCTGAGGCAGTTCTTTTGATGTTTTTTTACGATCCTTTGTGACTTCCTGGATTATTTCACGCTGCGCCCTTGGAGAAATTTTGGCAGGGCTATCACACCTGGGAAGATTAACTACTGTTCCAAGTGTTCTCCATTTAGAGATGTTGGATAACTTTGTTAATTAAATAAATGAAATACGCAAAAAAAGTTGTTATTTGTTCACTCAGGTTCCCTTTATCTATGGGATAATCAAATTTTAGATTTTGATTAAAGACCTGAAACCTTTAAACCTTCAGTGTAAAAAAATTGCAATAATAGAGGAAATCGGTAAGGGGGCAAATTTTATAGGGGACCCCAATCATGCTATAAAGATTTGACATTTATTAGATGAATTCAATTGAATTATTTCTCCTTTCCACATTTGAATGACAATAGGATATAATATTTTAATGTGAATGGCTGTGCTTTGTCTGGTAGACACTCTGAATAGCATTTACAGATATTTTAAGAGTGTGCAGAGGTGGTTAGGTTTTGCCAACTGGACCTTATTCTAAACAGAGATATTCCTTGTTTTCTCCTGTACTGTTACAGTTTGATTTCTGTAAATGTGACCTCTCGCAATGGCAGAATTTCAAGAGTCAGTTAACTAACCAGATTTACTTAGTGTTACTGACACTGTGTCGGGAGCCTTTACATTCTCTCTGCTGGAATAATGGCTGCCTTGATATTTTTTTAAATAGACTGCTTGGATTCTTGGGGCTAGTAGAGGGTGATTGCCTGTTGCATGAGACTTCGATTGTAGCTGTTGACCATAGAGTAATCCCTTGCCAACTGTAGTTTTATCAACTGCAAAATTAAGTTATCCACGGTTTTTCACCTATAAACAATTTCATTAAGCACAATACAAAATGGTGTATAACCACAATCAAAACCATGATATATTTCACCACCAATTTCAAATTACTGTGCCTATTGGATTCACACACCCTATTCATCACAAATGACCTTCCCACAACATATAATTGTGCTGTTACTCTGGATGAACCACATAGTCATTTTCTTTGATCAAATGCTCCATCATTATTAAGCTTTTAAAGCAATAACATAACCTTAGAAAGGAAATTTAAAGTAGCTGATTTTAACAAGTGAAACTGTTGATTCTGTAGGGACTGTCTTATGAACTACTAAGATCACTATTTGAGCAATAATTAAGACTGAACATGAGTTAATGATATGTGATACATCATAAACTGCTAGAGTGATATTTTATTTGTGTTGAGAAAGCTCTGAACATAAAGATTTTTATATCATATAACAGAATACTTCTCAAATTACATTTCTTCAAAACAAAAGCCTGAATAAACACAAAAGCCTTCAAAACAGGCTGTTTTGAAGTATGTCATCAGAAGTACTTGAAAGGAATTTACTCCTTAAAAAATATTGTATATCTAAAGAAAAACCACACAATATAATGACAAAATTATTATTTATATTGTAACAAAAAAGAGCTTACTTGTGACTTTGCCCAAAGTCAGAGATTTGATTGCATTCAGCTCTGCTTCTGAGGACAAACTATATTTTGTGTTTACATCCTGGTCAATCTAAAAAACAAAAGCAAAAAAATACCTTGTTAAAGTACGACTCAAAATGTATTTGTGATCTTCATAATACATCAAGCGTCTATATTCACAAGGATGATCAAACAAGATTCAGAGATGAAAGATTGGATTTTATATTTTGTATAACATAACTGTAACCAGAGCACTGTTAACAATAGCCTACAATAAAATGCTTACATTTAGCAAGTTTCAGTAAAAACATGGTTTTTGTGACATTTGATAAAATAAAATGCAGACAGCTGACAGGGACAAACTGTCTGATCAACAAGCTATGTATCATTTGATAAAAACAAAGGAGCAGACTGTAGATTGTTATAAACAGCCTTATCAACTTTAAGTCACAGACAGGTAAGAAGGTTTGCTGCTAACCATAGGATGAGGTAATTTGTCAGCTTAGCAAGCAGGAGGAATTGGTTACTAAGTTGCAGTTTTTGGAACAAATGTTTGTTACAGGCTATAAAAAAGACCTGTTAGAGAAACTGACAGAGCTGTGTTGCTTTCATGTGCTGCCACTACTGTGCATTGACTTCAGAACTGAAATAAAGGCCTGATGATCACTTCAGCTCTGTAGCCTGGACTCTCTTTCTTTTTCCCAGTCTCCTGAAGAGGGCTGATCTTATCTGTCCACCTCAGAAATAACACAATCCTGGAGATTGTGTTTATTTCAATTTGTAACTAATATATTACAAAAAAATGAATATGACCACTGTCATTCACAACACAATTTATGCCAAAAAAGATAACATCTTATAGCAAATGTCATTAAGTATCATTCAAGTGATCATGTAATTGTGGATCATTTAAAGTATATCATTTTTATTGAAAAATCTTTATAGGCTTCATTTTTTTTATTGTCTCTTTTACTTGTATGGTCATAATTGACAAGGAAACCAGGAAAAAATAATTTATGTTCAGATAAAGCTTTATTAATTTCTGGTATTTCTCATTTTCACACATGAGAAAGTACTTCCCACCTTAAAACTGCTTTATATTAAAATAATTAAAACATCTGTTTCATCCCTAGAGGTATTTACACACATTATCATAAAGTTTCCAAATCTAGCTAGAATTTAAATAAATATTTTCAAAATGCAATGCAACAACTTCACCACAATATGTTATATAAATATTTGTGAGCATTTATGGCTTTTTGTATTTTAATAACAAGGTGAGGTAATTTGGTTAATTAAAAAAAAATGAAGACTCCCATGGAATATGTGTTATATTAAAATAAACCATCTGTTTTACTCTGAGAGGTATATTCACACATTAAGAACATACTTCTAAAGCTAACTTGGATTTGAATATTTACACAATGTGATGCAATATCTTCAGCACAATTTGTGATAAAATATTTGTGATTATTAATGGCTTTTTTAATTACAAGATATGATAATTTGGCTAATTTGATAAACTTAAAAACACCTAAGGAACAAAGTTCAAGTGTAAAAGTGTATTCTTTATATATAGGTAAAGATGGTGGGAATAATAAATTCTAATTCTGTTGTTGATGTTGTTGCATTGCAACAAACTAATGAAGGACAGTTTCAAAAACACAAAAATACGGAGCAGCATTTTATACCAATTTTTTTAATTAATAAAAGTTTTAAATAATACAGTTTTTTGTTTCTTTAAACAGGTTAAGACAAGTTCTACACAGGTCTAAAGGTCTAATCAGGAAGTGGTGGTGTCAGGATAATCAAGGTTATGTTTCATAGTCACTTTTTAGTCACCCACTTTTAATTTAGTCTAGTCATCTACATTCTGACTATAATTAGTCTAACTTTTAGTCGACTAAAACAGAATAGTCACATTTTAGTAATTAAGTTTAATTTATTTCTACAATAAAAGGTCTTAGTTGTATTCATTTTTAAAATGTAATAAGTCTAAAATGAAATAATTCGTTTTTTTTAATATTGCAATATTAATTTTAGTCCTTTTTAATGTACATTTAATGTAATTTAAGTGCTCTAATTAGATAATACCTAATAATTTTGTGGGGCAACCTTTTACTTACCATGTTAAGCAAGAAAGAAGTGCATAAAACAATTTAGGAACCTAAAAACCACAAATCTTTAGACTTGCAACAAAGTGTATTAATTCCCAGAGGTCAAATATTAAATACAACAAATAATTATGCAATAAAGGGTAAATATAAAATAATCTTATGTGGAGACATTGTATTAATCTTACCTAATATGAAAATATATGTTGGAACTATTAATAATAATTCCATACCATTATATAAGGTTTTTAAAAGTTCTTTTTTTCAAAGCAATATTATTATACATTTATTCAGTTAAGTCTCCTGCCAATACTGATTTTGCAATAATTGAAGCGAACTTACTGCATGAATTACTTAAAAACATGCCAAAAACCAAATGCCGAAACCCACAAAACGTAGTCGAAAAGCCGAGCCAAGAAGTTCAGGTGTCAAAAACATGAGAATTACTACCACCCCCCCCACAAGAATGAGGGCTCAATGAAAGTTCAGAATTAGGACTGGGTCAAGGATGTCACTTTTGGGTACCCCAGAGTGTTCTTCAGGGCCATTACCCTCCCAGTCAGTCAACCAGGTATTGTAGGGAGCCACGATGCCAGCGAGAGTCCAGACTTGTATTAACAGTGTAAGCAGGAATTCCATTCCCTCTATGATGTGAGGTGGGGAAGGAAGGGATTCCATGAAGTCTAAAAACATGTTGGATAGAAAGGTCTGCCAGTTCTTGAGCCGAAGGAAGAGAGGGAAGAGGGGTGAAATGTGCTGATTTAGAAAACCAATCCACGATGACTAAAATGGTAGTATGTCGTTGACTCTTCAGGAGATCTGTAATAAAATCCACCAAGATATGGGACCATGTACATTCAGGAATGGGTCAAAGTTGGAAAAGTCCAGCAGTCTTCTGGCAGGGAGATTTAATTTGGGCACATACGGGGCATGCTTGAAAATAATCTGTAGTATTCTTTTTAGGGTAGGCCACCAGAAGTCTTCTGAAATTATTTCAAGGGTTCTCAGGATTCCAGGGTCTCCAGCAGAGCGGGAATCATGGCCCCAAAGGAGGACTGTGGATCAGACTGGATTGACAACAAAGTTTGTTGGGGGGACATTGTGGAGGAATCAGGTGGCCAGACAAAGCACGCCTGACCTATTCTCCAATTTTCCATTTAATAATCGCTATAAACCTACCAGATGGGATAATAGGTTCTGGATCTTTTTCAATTTCAGGAGGGCCATATAGCTGAGAAAGAGCATCAGCCTTGACATTCTTGGAACCAGGGAGATATGTAATTAAAAAAAATGAAAACAGGAAAAAAAGAATTAACATCTGGCTTGGCGAGAATTCAGTCATTTCGCAGATTGCAAATATTCCAGGTTTTTATGGTAAGAGTATATAACAAAAGGGTGTTCTGCACCCTCCAGCCAGTGTTTCCACTCTTCGCAAGCTAGTTTAATGGCAGGAAGTTCACGATTCTGTACATCACAATTAATCTCAGTGGGCAAAAGCTTTCTAGAAAAAAAGCACAGGGATGAAGAATTGTTTTCTGATCGTGGCATTGAGAAAGAACTGCCCCCACTCCATAGGCTGATGCATCTACCTCAAAAACAAAGGGTAAAGAAGGATCAGAGTGCCGTAGTAGTGGGGCTGATGTAAAAAGATGTTTCAGATGGGTAAATGCTGTTTCCGCCTGAGGAGACCATTTGCCTTGTGTCAGGCCCTTTCGGGTCTCGGGTAGGTGCAGCTATGGAAGCGACGACCGAGCTGAAATCCCTAATAAAACGTCTATAAAAACTGGCAAACCGCAGAAAATTCTGGACTTGTTTCAGATTCTTCGGTGGTGGCCATTCTTTGATCGTGGCTATCTTGCTTGGATCCATTTTGATTCCCTGAGGAGAAAGAACATTTCCTAGGAAATGAATCGTGGGGACAATTAACACAAACCTTCATATGACATCAAGATAAACATTGTTCATAAAATTTTGAAAAACAGCAGGAATGTTAACCAAGCCAAAAGGTATAACCAGATATTCATAGTGTCTATAGGTTGTGATGAAAGCGGTTTTCCATTAATCACCCTTCCTGATGCAAATTAGTTTTTAAGCTCCACGTAAGTCTAATTTAGAGAAGATAGTGTTGCCGTTTATAGATTCCAGAGCTACAGTAATTAACAACAATGGGTATCGGTTCTTGACTGTAATTTCATTGAGACCATGGTAATCGATGCAGGGTCTGAGTTCTCCGTCCTTTTTCTCTATAAAAAAGAAGCTAGTGCAGATGTTAGAGAGGGGCGAATAATGCAAGCTCTGAGTGATTCCTCAATGTACTCATCCAAGGCACGTGATTCCGTATTTGACAGTAGATAGATTTTCCCCTTTGAAGGAAGACTGTTGGGTAGGAGGTCAACAGGACAGTCATAAGGACGATGGGGGGGAGGGTTAGGACTTTTTGTTTATTGAAGGCCTCCAATAAATCTCTGTATTGAACAGGAACTTGAGACTTCAGATTGAGAGAAGTTAGTAAAGCCTAGCTTTATAGGCAGAAGGCAGCAACAAGAGTGACAATGAGAATCCCAGGTTAATAGTTCATTATGTTACCAGGGGATGTGGGGATCATGTTGGTGTAGCCAAGGGTACCTTAAAAGGAAGGGGTGTGAAGGGGTCTCCAGAAGGAAAAATTGTATTTGCTTGAGATGGGTGGCACCTATCTATAGAGTGAGCAGGATGGTCTGCCATGAAATTGGGCCTGAAGCAATAGAGGAGCCGTCCATAGTTTGGACATGGAGGTGTGGATTCACTGGGAGTAAAGGGATATTCCAGGACTTAGCGAGGGATGAGTCTAAGATGTTCCTGGCCACTCCAGAATCTATAAAAGATGAAAGGGGCAGATCATTATTATTCCAGGAGTGAGCGGGCAGAAGATAAAGGGCGGTTATGGTTCTTGTAATACATGGAGATATAGTCACCCCTGATTGAGAGGTAGGCTGGGAATGTTGTCTTCTTTGTGGTCTCAGGACATGAAGCCTAGAAGTGACTGAGTTTACCGCAATAGAGGTGTGAGTCTGGAATGGGCTATTTCCATTGGTTGTTCAGGGAGCGCATAAGTAGCAGAAAACGTTTGTGGTGATGTAAAATTCTGTGACTGTGATCTTTCCAGTCGTCTTTCACAAAGCCTGTTATCCAAGTCAATGATTTGAGGAATTACTTATTCAAGGGTATTACCAGTTAGGGAATTAACTAAAAGTTCTTACTAAAAGTTTGTATTATATCTTGTTAACTATATATCTTTTTGCTTATATTTTACTAAATCCATCTCAGGATATCTGATCTCAAAAGATAACATAGCCACATGGTGTCTTTACGCACTGCTGACATAGTTCTCAGGATAATGACCGAGTGACCTCTCCTGGAACAAATTGTCTATTCAGCAGAAGTAGCTGCTTGTCAAACAAGCCTTCAGTAAAGAATATATATGTACTGCTCAGATTTTTAGAATGGCCATATATAGCCACAATGCAAGTAGAGTGGGAGTGTATCTTGTATTGTTTGTTTCACTGTATAAAAGAGCGCTGTAAGCATTGTCTTTTAAGTCGTGTGCCACACGACGCAAGACTTCCATATTCATATGGATAAAGATGACTTTCAACACAAAAACACTCAGCTGATGCCGTTTTTTTCTGGCACAACACTGGTTAGAAGCAAGACAGTCAAATGGTGTCACGGATGTCGGAAGGGGCAAACCGTGTAATCACAGGAGAGTGAAAAGACCCTAAGCATAGCGGCGAGATGGGGGTTAGCCCGGGCTCAGCTGTTCAGGGAATGCTGTATAGAAACCTTTGCCCTCAGGTAGCGGACGTGGGGAGACCTGGTGCTAGGCGGGTCTCAGGACATCCGAACGTCAATGCTGAGCGAAGGCAGACTGAAAGACCCAGAAATATATAGTCCCAGAGAAAGAGAAACATCGGAAGGACAGCAAAGAACCGGAAATGAGAGACAGGACAGAGAAGGAGCGCCCTCTGGCTGCAGAGGGCGTGACAAATGGTCTTTCAATTCAATTCCTCTGAGAGACCTTGTCAGTATTGAAAAATAAGAGCTTCCTGATTCCAAGATGTCTTTGCTGCTAGAATGCTAAATTCGATGTAATAATCTTTGAACAGTGCGTCTGCCTTGCCAGAGAGAAAAAAGACGAGTAGTTGAGTAGTCGATTGAAGACAGATCTAAGGTGTTCTTGAAAGAGGTCAAAGTCATAAACTATGGGTGTATCTTGCTCTATTAAGGCAGTAGCCCAATCCAATGCCTCACCGGTAAACAATAAATGTGACCTTTTCACGCGAGGCTGGAAAGCTTTCAGAGTGGAGTAGGAAAATGAATGTGTATTGGTTAAAAACCCACAGCATTTGGATGAGTCTCCATCAGATCTTTCCAGTGTGACAGGAGATGTAGGTCAAGGTGCAGGGCTGTTGGAGGAGAAGTAGTGGGGTGGGGGAAAGCAGCGGGAGGAGCAGGAGGGTCCTGCGGGGTTGAAGCAGATAGTACGTCTCACAACTGTCAATCTGGTATAATGATACTCGTAGTTGCATCAGGGCTTGAGAGTGTTGATTAAGGAGTACACGCATAGAGTCTAACTCCTCTGGATCCATATTTTTGTGGCTCAGTATTCTGTTAAATTCTGTTATGGGAGTGTGTATTTAGATTTAAGAAGATCCTAGGCAGAGTTACAAAAATATATTATTGGTAAAGGTGAGAGTATTGACCAAAACAGAGACAGAAAGTCGGGATCCACAAACCAAGTCAGGGTGTTCAGGCAGCAAAACAGGAGTGAAAACCAAATGCCAAAATTCACAAAATGTAGTCGAAAATCCGAGCCAAGGAGTTCAGGTGTCAAAAGCAGAAGAGAAAACCAAACGCCAAAAGCAGGAGACAAACTCCACAAATCATAGTCAGGAGAAGGTAAGTCAGAAGCCAGAAAAATGAATAATAAGACAAAAGAATCGCACAAGTAGCTCTGGGAAAGTAAAACGTAATACTGAGCAGTGAGTGTAGAGCTGGAAGTTTCTAAAATATGAAAAATCAGGAGGTGTGGTGCTAAGCAGGTGAGGTAATTGGTTAACTGTCTTGACAAGGTGTACACCATCTTAAGGGGACTGCAGAGGGATTGCGTGAAGCTGAGGTTGCAACAAGGGTGAGTTAAAACAAAAGAGTAAGAGGAAACAGCACGCCCTAGTACTTTAAATTCTCACACATTAGTAGCTCTGAGGCATTGTGCAGTCTACATACAATCACAGACCTAGGATTATAACAATTTCAGACAGCCTCCTATTTGCCAGACATAAAGTTAATGCACAAACTTCATGTGAGAAAATTCATTTTAGTATGAGTTTTAGTCAAATGGGTAATTTTGTCTCAACTTAATTCACTTAAACAAAAATGCAAAGCAATTTAGTCTTCATCATCATCATTGTAGATTATTTTCATGGGTGTTTTGTCATTGTTAACTAAAATGAAAAAGAGGTCATTGCCGAACATTTTCTTCTACAAAATTCACATTGCAACAAGGGTACATAGGGTGCAGGAGCCCTGTAACAGGGGGCTGATGTGCAAATATTCTGCACACCAGCTTATCAAACTAAGGGATATTTGCTATACTTGTCAAGGGTCTGAATACTGAATAGTGCAAGGCAATGTATATTCATCTAGTGTGAAATGTGATTATGACTATGACTATATCATTATAAACCAATAAACATTGAAAAACATGAAAAATGAAAACTTATAATTTTATCCAATCTGTAGTTTCTCATCTGTGAAACAAATACTAAAATATTTGTCATATATCAGAGATATGTAGAAATCACATACATAAAATGGTTCTAACCACTGTAGGTACCAGATATAAATTCCATCCTCACCCCTCAATTTGAAAATGGTCATTGGCCATCAAGATACAGAAATAAATGTTTGCTGTATTACTCACATTTCTGATATTAAATGCACATTTTTGTGCATTAAATACAGATAATGCTATTGAAAACCATAAGTTGATTCAAAATACATTTTTAAGAACCAGTCACCCTCTAAAGAATATTTTAGTGTATTCTATACTTTTATGAAGTACTATGTAGCGGCGAGGCTTAATAATAAGGCAGAATTAAGTGTTTCTGAGCTTCCCAAATGAGGCCCCATTTCTCTGTTCATCTCTGTGGTGCAGCCACAG